CAAGAACATTAACCCGTGTTGGGCCCTGCGTCCTCTGCCACCATTAGCACTGCGATATATACAGTACGTAGGTGGCACGGCTGCCCCTTGAGAGAAAATCAAGCTTCACTTTTCAGATCGTGTAATTACAAGGGTTTAAAAGCGTTTAAAAAAAGCACATTATTCTCCACCAGATCCGCCGTGAGATACTTTCTTCTAATTAGCGCTGTACCGACAGGAGTAATAAATACAGGGAAAGCCTGCGAAGATTAACCACAAGCCGCGCTTACTCGGCTTTCAATAAGCCCCTTTTTATCAGGAAGCACAGGGAGTGGCCGGAGCTGCAGTATCTAGATGCTCTTTCCTCCACAGACACGCCACACCGGTCCCACCCAAGCCTGCCCATTGAAATGGGAACAGGGCGCCCCACGCTTCACAGAGGCACGCCCCTACCGCGACGTGTTCAAGATGTGAAGAAATATCCGCATGTTTAAACCCACTTTTTTTTAAAGCATTCTTACCTCTGAATGAAACAGGCTCACCAGGTTTATTCGGGGACATAAACCTATTTTTGAAATAGGTGTACTGTTTAAAAACTAAAGCTGCAGTATTGTCTTAATTACAGGGCACACAGGATGTGCTCCTCTCTGCTCTGAAGACTGTAGCAGTGCTCGACACAGGTGTCCTTTTTACACAGGAGCCAATTACGATTATCCCAATTTCAGATTTCAACATCCAGATCAAAGCTCCCGTCTAGCGTATACGGCGTCTTCGTGACAAGATTCCTCTTCTGATACTGTGCCTCTAAGCATGTTACATGTTAAGCTGTATTTTGTTTTGTGATTTCTCAAAAACGTTTTAATAAAGTGTGGTAAATGCATTTAACAGGACTTCTGAAAATGCCTCCATTCCTACTGATTGCTAAAAACGTTCTCTGACAAGGCAATCGGTGAAATAATTAAACTTGAAAACAATGACACTTTTAGAGATGGAACTTTAAGAATGGATTGGATAAATTGAATTTGTGCTGTTTTGTATGACATCATCTGCAGAGCTGCGTAGTAAATGTCTCTCTCACTAACGAGGGCAGCAGGCTGTTTTGGTTTGGCAGACATTTTGGCAGGATGCAGAGTGGGACAGCTTGTAACTATAAATCAAAGGGGTACTGGCTTGGCTACAAGTTGTGGCATTGACTCAGCATTCGGTGTGGGAAAGAAAGGTGTTTCTTGGATATTCAAGCCCCACCAAAAACACCATCCCTAGCTAATTACATCATTAGCTCAAAGGAAACAGATGCTGGCACTATACTTAAAAAGGATCCCGATTAGAGCAGAAGAAAAAAAAACCTTTGAGCAAAATGGACGGGCAGGCCTGTTATTTCAGGATTTTTCCTTTAACCTCAGGTCTCCCAGGGCATATTTTAAAAGCAGTGCTTAACTCGAGTCACGGGGTCTCACTGCCCTCTTCCACGAGCCTGTTGCTGAATCGGTTACATAAGGTTCAAATTACACGTTTCAGATTCATACTGTGAGGAATCAGTGTAAGATAACAGCTCAACTTTACTTTTTACCATTTTACTTTTTACTACATAAAAGCGTAAAATGATGGTCTTTAAATGACACTGAACCCCAACTTAAAAACCATCAGCATAAACTATTGCTTTATGTGAAAATGAACTAAGTTTCTCAAATGAAACTGCAACACAGAACATAATGCATTCCACTACAAACCTCCCATATCACAATATCCCTTTGTTTGCAGTTACAGCAGTACAAACTCAGTACAAACTTCAGCTATCAGTAACCGTTTAATGTACTGGTTCAGTTATCGCTATACTGACTGCAATCTTATTTTCCTCTTTTCTGTAAAGTATAAAGATGAGGCCCAGGAAAAGAGAACAAAAAAGGTTTCAAAACCTGTTCTTCTTTTTTGTGGAAATAAATAAAGGTTTGATATGGAGAATTTTTTTAAAAAAGCTTTACTTTATATTTTTTTATTATACAAGATGTTTCCAATAAGGAACAAACATGTATTTAACTTTGGAAGAATTCACCCAAAGCTGTAACTTTAGGTGTAACCTGATGGTGAAGCAATGTCAACAGACTGTGCAGTTAAAGTGATATGTGACTTTTGCCTTAACCACATTCTTGAGTTCTGACTAAATATTCAAATTCATTCCAGCACTGCACTTTATGAGTCAGTACTGTAACTCAGTAAAAGACTTACTCAGAGTATGAATGAACTACTCAGCCGCCCCCCCAAGCACAACCTTCTGTGTTCAATACTAAAAAATGTCAGAATTTCACTCAGTAGTTGCAGTGAACATCAAGAAGATAATACAGTTGTAAGTATTGGTCTAATTCAAACAATTGGGTCAGACATCAACAGTTGCTTCCGAATGCATATTGCTAAAAAAAGCACAGAGATTAGAGAGTACTGTCTGGTTGGCTCGTGTTTAGGCCACAGTACTAGTAAGCTATTTATGATTTTCTTTGTCATGAAAAGGAAGTCTCCTTCCCAATCATTGTTAAATTTAAGCCACCAGCTTCGGTCTTCTGTCTCCTCTAGGGTGGGGGCAGGAGGGGTGGAGGGGAGGGGGGCCACCCCTTCCTGCCTCTGAGCCCCCCGTCCTGAGAAGAGCCTCATTAGGAGACAGGGAGCCCGAGGCAGGGCTGAAAACAATAATCATCTCCTTCAGCACAAACACGGCTACTGCCTTTGTCCACTGCCTACCCTCATGCTAGATTAAAGCTTAATGACAACTTGAGTTAGCATGATGGTATTTGGGGAGGCACCACTTTTTATTATAACTAACTCCACCACCATCAAAAACACACACACAAAAAGTGTCACATGAAAAGCCTTCCCATTCATCAGAACTGCTTTGATGTTCTGCCATATTTTAGACTAGACTTTAGTGTACAATCACTGACAACACGTCTGGAATGAGGGGTAGTTGAAGACTTTCTGCTTCCTTTGTTTTCCATTCTTTCATCGCTCGGAGGCATGAAAAACTCGGTGGATGCTATCGGACACTCGCTTTTGTCGCGTTTTAACCGCCTCGCAGTATGTTCAGATAACATAAGTGATCTCAACTTTAATTTCAGTACAAATACCCCTTGGGAAAAAAAAAAGTTACTTTAAGGCTCTTTGCCGATTGAGAAGTGAATGCATTTCTATAGCTTTAACTGCTCCAGTTCCTGCTCTTATTTTTGGAAAGCAATCGGCTTTTTCGGAGTCCTTTCTGCCACACTGAGTCACCCAGGGCCTTTGAAGGGCCGGCCCTTCGCTTCACATCATCATCTCCCTGCGGCTGTTCCCTGCACATCGCTTCATCTCCGGGCCAGACGGGAGCCACTGAGACCTCCCCTCGCCCTCCGGGAACAGTGAGGGCTTCAGGCACTGCAACCTCCACTCCAGCCTTTCCTCACAGAGGAGGGGTATGCTTCAGTTAGCTTATCTGCTGTAAATGCCGGACATCAGTTTTTCTTTTTGCTAGAAAACAGCACAATTTTTTTTAAAAAGCGAACTAATCAAATGTGAATTCACGGAAGTCATGCGTTTTAGACATTTAGAAATGCGATAGGGACTATGCTTGCTAATGCAACATTATAAGAAGCATATTTCTAAGAGTACAGGGGTGAAGTCACTATATGTCAAAGGCGGTGTTATATTTTATGCATAGCCCTGAGGCTTCAGCTGGTTGACAAAATAAATATCGGCTCCTATGCAACAGACGTACCCTGAAGGCAGGGACCAGGGTGAACATACTCCCAGCAGCGAACACTTCAGAATCTATGAAAACATACAAGTTAACACTTCCGTCTGAACCCTGGGCAAGATCAATCAATAGACTGAGAATGTAAACCTTCACCCTATACTGACCTGGAAGCAATACATTTAGGGAAGCAGCAGACAAGATAAAGCAATTTACAGCATACAATTGAGACAGACAATGTACTATAAACAGTGGAGTGTCACCTGGCTTTAAGATTCTCATAAGGAAGCACTTTTAAGGGATTTTATTAGTGCAATAACTACTAAACCACTAAATGATCAGATACACAACTGAATAAAAGCTTGTGTGATTCCAGGATAATGAAGGTGATACCATCCCCCTTGAACTGGAATATTGCCCTTTTGAAATGACGAACATCTACTTTGCTGGAAAATAACTTCAACAATACATGTTTTAAGGGAAACCACAGGTGCTCTCATTTCCTATCCTAATCTTACTGTCTGCATATTAAACACCAATGCTTCCTTATTAACAGATGACTGTTCTCATAACTCCAGCACATAAGGAAACCGGAGCACTTTAAAATAGTTCCTCAGTCAAGCATTTACACTGTAAATACCACAATGATTTGGAGAGATTCTAAAGGAACACCAGCACTTCAGAGTATATGAATTTTAAATTACTAATGCAGTAGTCAAATGTTATTTGATATTATTATTGAAGGTAACAAGAGGAAGCTTTTTGGACCATCTAGCCCATTATCTAGTTAGAAGTGCATGTAGCTATCCACAACATGGCTGTTACTTGCTCCATACTCCCACAACCCTTTGTGTAAAGACGTGCATCCTGCTCTCAGATATAAATAAGATCCAAGTAGCGTCCCCTTGTATCCACTAATACAGGCTTCTTTGTTGATACTGACAGCATTACTTCGGTTGACAATGTCAACTGATAAATGTCGGCATAAAGGTTCTCAGGTCAGATACGGCATTTTCATTTCTGAAAATCAGCTGAACTGGTTAACTGTAGAGTTAATGTATATGTATGCAACTCTGTAGCTACAGTTCTCATGTTCAAAGAATGAACTCTATGACCCTGTTACAAACCAGTGTGCACTGCGTACATTAAGTGTGTAGCATTCGTTACAATATTATTAGAACTAGACACTATGCAAGTATCTGGTAATGATCCACGAACACTGCCACATAAAACAGTACTTTCCCCAATCATTCTTCAATTTTGTTTTAATAAAGGCAAATAAAGACAAAAAAATACATGCAGATCTGTTGTGAACAGTTGTTTATTAAGATTTAACAACTTCTAATTTATATAAATATGAACATTACCAATTCAGTGACTGTAATGCCACTAGTGCAGGTGGTAAGAACATTACTAACTTATAAAAGCTCCTTATGAAGCCGCTTTGTACTTAAATATAAATGGTAAATTTACTCCATAAAAACTGTTCCAGGTTTTCAGAAAACAGACAGCTAAAGTGCATTTTCTTTGTAGAACACAGAAGCATATTTACAACAGACCTATTTGGAATCTGCAAATACAGATTGTAACCCAGTGATGGAACTAAATACACAGTAATAATTAATCTGCCAGGGAGGTGAGAATACACACACAGGACCGCGTGTTAAAAGTCTGAGCGAACACAGTTTATTACGGAGCAGTATTTCGCCTGGCACGTCTTTCGAGCTCATATTTAGTTTTCCTTCAGTAAAGCCCTCCCCCGTACACAATTTTTTTCCCCCCCCGAGAACAAAAACGAACATTCAAATTAAATTTTCCTACTATGAGCCAACTGCGACTGAATTTTTTCGTCTTTAAAAACTCTAAAACGGCAACATCTTTTAAAGCCCTTCATTTTCATTCCTAATTGTGCAACAAAGGAAAAGCAGATCCGCAAGGTCCGGTTACAGACTGGTGTATTTTAGTGCAATCTGAAGTCCTTGACTCACTGCCAGTCTGAGAGCTCTCAAGGTGTGGACTATGGCTGACAAGCAAGGTTCTTCTGTAATCACTACAGGCGCCCCTCACCGGTCCCGCACTGTGCTCGTGGAATTGGAGGATTACTCGGCACAAAGGCAGTATGCTACAGAGCAGCGGGCCGCTGGATCTCGAAATACAGGCTGGCCCATCCCCTTCATCGAACTATGGCCCCAGTCCTTCCAATGCATTGTCCCAGCATCTACTTGAGAAAAATACTGACTGTAATAAATACTAGGTTGTTCTCGGCTTTTACTGTAAACATCCGCGCCGAGACGTCTGAAAACCTCCCGAATAACTTTTCTTTAAAAAGCACAGTCGAACTCTTGTAGACCGCTCCCCTACCACGGCCGGCGCAGAAGGAACGACAGATAACCTCCGGTCCGAGTTGCTCACGTGCGCCAGACCCGAGTCCCGCTCTCAAAGTGTGGGAGAGCAAGCAAGCCTCTTCTTCATCTCGGCTCGAGCCACGCGCTCCGGGGCAGGAGCTGCTTCCAGGCCGGCGGCGGTCCGGGAGAAACAGCTGCCCCCTCCTCCTCCTCCTCCTCACTCCTCTCAAACGCTCTTCTTCACCGCGACGGACGGGGTCATCTCTTCTTCCGCTGCTGCCTCAGCATCTTCCTCCGCTTGAGGATCATCTCGTAGAGCCTCTCCAGCCCCTCGCGCAGCCCCTCGCCGATGATGGCGCACGTGGGCTGCAGGTGCCAGGGGGTGGCGGAGCCCAGCTCGTGCAGCGCCAGCATCTTCTCGATCTCGGGGAGGGACAGCGAGTTCCGCAGGTCCTGCTTGTTGGCCACCACCAAGACGGGGACGCCCTGGTTCTCCGAGATCCGCGTGATCTTGTGCAGCTCCGTCTTGGCCTCCTCCATCCTCTCCGCGTCCACCGAGTCCACGACGAAGACGATGCCGTCCGTGCAGCGGGTGTACGACTTCCAGAGGGGCCGCAGCTTCTCCTGGCCCCCGACGTCCCAGAAGTGGAAAGTCACCGCCCGGGAGCCCCCCAGAGTCACCCGGATCCTCTCCGTGTTAAACCCCTTGGTGGGGACGGTGTTCACGAACTCGTTGAACTGCAGCCGGTACAGAACGGTCGTCTTCCCCGCGCAGTCCAGCCCGAGGATAACGATGTGGAGAGACTGGAAAGAGGGAAGACTCGACAAAAGAGGGTTCTGTTCCGATAATCCATTACCCATCTTAGAGAAGCAGCTGAAAGCTCCGGTCAGGAAAAAAATCCACAGATGCTCTGCTTAGTCCTTGGGCCGACGCAGTAAACAATCGACTTCCGATGGTTTTACCTGTTAAAACAGAGCGCATCAATTAAAAGTGAGGAAAAAAAAAAGGGAGTTTGTGGAGGGAGGGTGACAGTTAAAGCGACAGCTTTGTCTTGTCCGTTTACTGCCTTCATGGACAGAAAACTCCCTTTCGCTGCCGTGTCAACAATTTGGGTCAGAAAGAAAGCGGGGTCTTGCCTTGCACCAACCAGAACCCCACCCAGCACATGCGGACCGGGAGGGGGCAAAGAAGGACAAGTGAACAGCGAGGTCCAGCCGGGGCGCCCCGTCCAGCCTGGATTTGTTACGCTAATGTTACGCTTACACGTGTGACAACATCAAGGAGTGATGAGGCCAGGGACCCCCCCACTGGACTGGCCCACGGCTCAGACGCGCCCACCCGCCGCCACAGCAGTCCCGGGGCCGGAGTCGGCTGTGGGCAGGCGAGGGCGGGTGTCGCCGTGGTGCAACACCAGCGGCTAAACACACTTCGCTTCAAGGGACACGGCGCCGCCGCAGATCACAGGTTCAGCCCGGATCGCGTTTGCCCAGCGAAAGCAACCTTGCGAAACGTTTAAAAAAAAATGGACTGACACACACATGCACCTAACAACGCGACGATTGAAATGTGTTATCCATTCGCCTCTGACTTGCACTGCGATGTACCAAGCATTCTTGGCTACAGACCCGCCCGTCCCGGCGAAAATAAATTACTCCATGGCCACAAACTAGAAACATTTGCAAACATCTCCCCCCCCTGCGTCGATAGGGACCGACAGTCAAACTCAAGTTCACACACACACGCACAAACACGAGCCACCTGAAAGCAATCCATACTGTAGTGCGTCGCCAACTTACCATTCCTGTACGTCAGCCAGGAGGAGATAATAACATCTCAGTGAGCGTCCCGTTAAAAGCAGAGAAGTTACCGAGCGTCCTGGCTCTCTCTCTCTCTCACACCGACGCTACCCTCCACCTACGTCCCGGACGGCTCTCTGCAGTGCACTGGCGAGGACGAGCCAGGACCCCCGGTCATGTCCACACCGCAGGTCCCGCCCACGGAGGGGCCGCCTGGCCGCTGATTGGCCACCCGCTGGGGCAGCGCGCCCCTCTCCGGGGCTCCTGATTGGCGGAGGGCGGCGTCCGTCCGCTGCCCCCGCCCTCCTCGCACAACCACCTGTTGCTGTCACGCGCAGAAGTTATTGGCCAGCCCGGGCTCGCGGCGCTGCCGGCTCGGTTTTGCAGGCATGGGCATGGCTTATTTTAAGCACAGCAAAGATAGCAGGGCGCTACTAAATTAATACGCGGTACAGACAGACTGGGAACTTTGCTTTCTGGCACAGGAAAGGAAAACCGACCTGTGAAAACAAGCAATGGTGTCTCAAAGCAAATACTCCAGCACAACGCTGATATAAATGTACTGTACGTAGGTGACAGGTGTGATTGAATACGAGAAAACCCTATAGAAAAGACATTACTGCACCAGCGGTACTGAATATGTAAGCGAAAATGAGTTTTTAAAGTGCTCCGTTAATTGTGATATCAATGCGTTTCGTGCGTTGTTTTTTTTTAAAACAAATATATGCACAGTCCTCTAAGCGTTTGAAAGTTTTTTTTTCTTTTAAACATGACGGTCTGTGGAAACAGCCCAACATCAGATAGATTAGATTTAACACACAAAAAAAGTGGAAGATTAGTGCTGATTGTGGTCTGTGAAAGCGCCGTTAAACGTTAATGGATTACTAAACCAACATCGCTCTTGTTTTGCTTCCTAGAAGAACCAGATGTCATTCAAATAATGCATTTACTATTCCCAAATACAAACAATGTAGTTGTGAGTTCATTTATATAATCTGATTCACGCGCACTTGGCCCGACAGCGCCATCGTACGGACTGACTATATTAAAGCACCCCGTGTTTACTTTCAAAATGATTGGTCGCCCGTTGGAAGTCACGACGTAAGACGCCAGACTCCTCTGTCCTGTCCTCTATTCCGACAGCTGTGCGTCTGTCTCGTTCAAGCCCTGAAGGAAACGGTGTAGAAACTGAAATCAGTTTAACCAACTAATCCTTTATTTATTTTTTTGTTTTTTTGTCACCGACATTCTGAAGAAATTGGGCCATTTCAGTCTTGAATAGAGAAGACTTCTAGGGGTCTTGATGTCATATTTAAATTTGTGAGAGTCTGAAACACACTACCCAGTTATGGTAGTGTTGTTGATACCATGGCTTCTGAAAAGAAACAGATCTTTTTTTCATCAGTTAGCCACTATCAGCCATATGGGCAAGATGGGCTGAATGCCCTACTCTCATTTGTAACCTTTCCCATATCCTTAAATTCACGCGGTAAAAGCCATTGAAATATATATTCTACAGCTCAGTGAGAATTAAGGGCAGGGAATTCTAAATAAGATAAAGATTTGGAATTACTGGATAAAAACCAGACAAAGACAAAAGGTCTGACACTGACCTACAAATCAAATAAATAAAATATCTTCATTAGCCAACTGGCACTTACCGAGTGTAGTATTTTAAATATGGATTATTAAAGCTCTTGCTTCTATCATAACATTCTTAATTGATAGGAAAGGGGAAAGCTCTTGTCTAATAGTGTTGGCTATGTGTATAATCAGCATTAGTAAAGACTCAACTGGAAAGCACAATACTGCATCTCAGAATTATACTGAAGACACCTGATAAGTTGGCAAAGACATACTTCAAAAGTAAAAATAGTGCAAGAGTGATGAAATTGAATGGCAACCAGAAAACTGCAGAGCGGGAGTCAGACAACACCTGTCAATTTGAAGATGATATGTTTTACAATATATTTTACAATTAAACAGTATTGGTCAAGGCTATACAATTTTACAATAAACACGCTTCAAATATAAAGTTGAAAATGCCCCAGCCGTGTAATTGCAAATTTGACTACTTTAAATGCTCTGTCACTAGTATTGTAGATAGTATTATTCATTTAACTCTTTAAAAAACAGCTAACCTATTTGTATGGGTGGTGTATGGGAAGACAGAGAAACAATGATGTATGAAACTGCAGTATATACAGAGCCCTCACAATTGCTGTCCTCAGCAGTTCCAGCTAGAGAAGATGCCACATTTACTGAGCAGGATGATGGAGATCCCCAGCAGGGCAGCTGTAACAAAGGCTTCAGTGTGTGGCTGAACAAGGGAACTCAAGCTAACTGCAAAAAACTGGAAGGTCCAATAACCTCTGCAAAATCTGACTCAGTCTGCCACGGGAGAGTGTCCAATGAGCTGCAAAGGGAAATTGCCTGTAACAAGTCAGGCCCTGTCAGACTCTTCAAGCACCAGGTCGCGTAAGGACGACTCTTCTCTCAAAATATCGTAATTACTGAAAGGAAGAGAGGAATGGCAAAACCATGCTCCAGTCCTGTCCAACGCACTTGAACGTAAGGGTCTGCGAATCACCAACACACGATGGGGCAAAGGACGTTCCTTCATGGGGAAGCTCCATCACGAGCCGTTTCGGTGAGCTGGACTGCCGCCGAAGTGGAGAGGTCCAGACAGCACAGCCACGCAGGGCTGCTGTGGAGTATGGGAGTTCCAGAGGCAGGATTAAATCATACCATCTCATAATATATCTTCATAATAGCTCAGTGTCCTTCAACCTGAGAATGTCAAGAGTGGGGTAACTGATTCCATCTTCAGCTGGGGTGGATTCCTGCCCGACTCCTTCTGTAGATCACTTCTCCGACAGGACGGAATGGCCTTCCTCCAAGCATTTTAAAAACAGCTATTCGGCACACGTTTATACGATTCAAAACTAAATGTGAAAAAATCAGATGTAGTTTCAGTTACCTGCAAGCCACAATTTGTATAATGAATTTCCAGGCACTGCAGGTAAGGAATCAGATCCTGAAACATGACATGTGGCGTTTATAACCACGAAGAATATCTTTTCCTCACATTACAAGCAAGATTACCTATGTCTGTTTGTTTGCGGTGTCATATGGCATAAAATATGGTACAGGGACAAATACTATATACAAAGGTATCAATATAAAGAGTACAGGATAAATTCAAAATCCTGACACATTATTTTTTTCACATTAATGTACTGTTGTAATAATATACACTGTTGTAATAACATAATATACAATGTGTCTAAAAGGTATTTGAAGTTTTCTTCAGCATATACAAGTAGAACTCCTTTATTTGACCATTGCCCCACCTTGTGGTCGAACTGTAGTATTGCACATATTTAATAATAGCTTTGTTTTGAAATTTGCCCATATATTTTCTGAATAACTGATCTACAGTTATTCTAAATTTGAATCCTCGTGGCTGACTGCATCCAGGCAACTGGTAATTTAATAAGATACACCACAGATTCTCTACACCTGCACTTCTTTCACATTTAGCTTTTCTACTGCAATTAGCTGCAGTGCATAAGTGCTCCAAGCTCTACTTCCACATGATACAGATACTTGGGAGTTGAGTTGACTTCACTGAACATTGAGCTACAGGCTGCCAGGATTTGCAGCTCAGTCTTGTTGTTTTTCTAAATTACCTCCAGAAGGTGGAGCAATCTGGTCAGCAGTCATCCCACAAGTCACAACTGGCAGCCCACTGAAGCTAAGCAGGTGTGAGCCTGGTCATTACCTGGATGGGAGACCTCCTGGGAAAGCTAAGGCTGCTGCTGGAAGAGGTGTTAGTGAGGCCAGCTGGGGGTGCTCACCCTGTGGTCTGTGTGTGTGTACTATCCTAATGGCCCAGGATAGTGATGGGGACACTATACTGTTTAAAAGAAGGTGCCGTCCTTCAGATGAGACATAAAGCAGAAGTCCTGACTCTTTGTGGTCATTAAAAATCCCAGGGAGTTTCTCGGAAAGAGTAGGCATGTGACCCTGGTTTCCTGGCCAAATTTCCCATTGGCCCTTACCAGTCATGGCCTCCTAAGTTCCCACATCTCTGAACTGGCTTCATCACCCTGTTCTCCTCTCCACTGATAGCTGATATGTGGGGAGCATACTAGTGTATTTAGCTGCTGTCATTTCATCCAGGTGGGGCTGCACATTATCCATAAAGCACATTAAGTGGAGTGTCCAGAAAAGCACTATAGAAGTGTAAGGAAGGAATTACAGTTTTTTTTATTTTTGAGTCACAGTATTAGCCAAGGCTGTATTAGATATAGTCACACATCTTTGATTTATTCCAGTTGACTCAAATCTGACTAAAACCACTTTTGCATCAAGTCGACTAAAATCAAGTCGCATTTGGGTTCTGCTGTTAAATTTAGTTATATAAAATGTATAAAGGTTTCAGTTTAATTCATTGTTAGGCTTTGGAATATTATGGAAATTAAGTTTAGTCCTTTTTAATTAACAATTAAGACCATTCTGATTTGATAGCCTCTAAATCCATATTAATGTTTTACCACGCTAAGCAAGGAACAAGTGCATAAAACAGATTAGGAACCCTTTGTGTTACTCTAACAAAATATAAGAACCATGAGCTAATTTGCATTCACACACAGACAAAAATCATTAAACTAATTGGATTTGAAGAATTCATTTCACTGAGTTGGAATAGTGGACTGTTTTACACTAGTTGGCAGAGTGGTGGCACTGTGGCTAAGGATCCGTGCCTGTGGCTGGAAAGTTGTTGGTTCAAATCCGACGGACAACAGAGGAATCCTACTCTGTTGGGCCCCTGAGCAAGGCCCTTAACCCCAACTGCTCCAGGGGCGCTGTATAAATGGCTGACACTGCGCTCTGACCCCAAGCTTCTCTCTCCCCGCCTGTGTGTCTCATGGAGAGCAAGCTGGGGTATGCAAAAAGACAAATTCTTGCAAGATGAATGCAAGAAATTGTATATGGCCAATAAAGTGATCTTATCTTATCTTTTCTTTGGTCTTCAACAATATGACAGGTGGATCTGGATCTCCTGACTTCTGATACTGAGCCAGGTTCGCTTCCAGTTCTGCTCTGCAGCAACACCATTGCAAATCAAGATATTATTCTTTGCCCTAATATACTAAAGCCCACAGCATATGCTCTACATGATTTATGTATTTTCTGTTTGTTAATTTATATAATTCTAAGAGTCAATTATGAGCTTTCCATACTGCATGAACTGTAGCTCAGATTATACTAATTTTATGTGGCAGAATAATTGAGGGAAAATTTTGGTTTTACCAAGATGCACCTCTGCTTAGATTGAATTTGAGAAAAATGTAAGATCAATTAAAGCTGCATAGAAAGCATACTGTACTTATTGAGATTTTTAATGCTTTTATATTATTATACTTCAAGGATAATTAACAATTGCTACTTGCTCCATTATCTTTGCCATCTGCTGTCATTTCCGGATCATGATTTAAGCCTTTTCAGAAAAGAAGAACACAAATAACCAGTGCTACAGCAAAGGTAAACAGCTGGCAGATTTGTTTTTTTTTTAGTTCGTCTGCACGATAGAACAACTATTCCTGAGCATTTTTACAATCTTAAAGGAAAGAAAAGGAACATTATGATTAAAAAGTAATAGCTTGATTAAAATATACCCCACCATTAAAGTGTATCTTTTCTTGCGGCACGTATAGCATACATTTTGAAAAAATAAAGTTCTGAACACTTATCATGTTTTTTTTTTTTAGCAATGTCAGCAAAGCACACAGCAGGCACTTCAAGAGTCAAGCTTGCAGTTTTATGCAACGTTAAGAGAACTCATGGCTCTAGACGCAGGATCGCTTTCCCACTTGGAGGAATCCCAGGCCAAAAACCATCCTGTGAAGTTTGGTGGTTCGTGGCCCTGCTTCACGATGACCACCGGGGTTCTCCTGTCCCGCCCTGATGGATCAGTCTCTATGTAACGCCTTGCTGCAATTTGTCGAACAAGCAAAGAAGAATTTCAAAACCAGTATACCAGCAATTAGGTCATGAGTGCAGACAAGGCCTTATACTAATTGAAAGAGTTATTTCTATTCACACATCCACATGGTGACAATGGTAAGAATGGTGATGTAAATGACAAAATCTAACTGATATGAAATGTACTCTTGCTGGTAAAGATCTATTGACATCTAAAGAAGATGGCAAGTTGATGGGGATTAGTAATATATCGTGAGTCACAAGTCATATTGACAGCATGTAAAGCTATCTTTCTTCCTCTTAACTGGCATACAAAATACAAAAAAAGATAGTGCAAACCTGTGGAGACAAATGACAGAATCTCATAATTTAGTCAACAAAGTGGAAGACTTCTTTAAATTTGACCCCTTCAGTGATTTCAGGATCATACACTTTCTACACACTGTCACTTTATAGAAGGAAAATTAAACATTTTTAGCATCATCATAATTCATCATAAGTGATTTAAATGATTAAATCAGAAGAAGAGAAACTTTACAGAGAAACTTAATTTCTTTTAATTCTAATACGATGTTTGCAGGTAAACTATTTAACCTGAACATCCCTGGTTGAAGTTCATACCTGATTTCACAGACTCAGTTTTTTCAACCTCATTTGCATCCTTTCCAATCCAGATGAAGACCTTTAAAAGTTAAATTCAATCTTTTAAAAATGTTTGTTTTAGAAAAAAAAACAAATATAATATAAATATAATAATAATAATAATACACATGGACATGTATTTAGCAATATCACCTAGAAGTGAAAAGGCACATGAACATGTACCGATTTATTTTCAAAGGAAATATTTGTCAACATTATGTTTTTTATTTATAAGAAATGTGTACATTTTGCAATAATTTGAAAAACCTATAATTATCTGAGATGTTATTATATACAGTATTAATATGAGAAGTGTAAAACAAGGCTGGGTCATTTTCTCCGCATAAAAGCTTGATAGTTATTATATACCTGATCCCAGACATCCAGCAACATGACATCATCTTCAGCCAAGTCGTCCTGTGTGAATTCACCCGGCACTTCTTCAATCTGAAGAAATTAATAAAGAAACACATTCTATCGAAAACTTTAGAACACCTTCTTACTCTACTGATGTCCACGTTCCCCATAGTAGGCGATTGAGTCTCTCGGTTGAAAAAAATAAAATGTTTTCAATATTTTTAAACATCACTTAAAGTTCTTAATGCTTTTTTTTCTCCCATGCTTTTCAGAGGTGCATTCTGGTAAAAAAAATAGCGACAACAGCAACAAAAATACAGTAGTGAGTACTCACAATAAACCTGCCCGTCTTGTTTGAGCAGCCATAGAGACATGGAGGATGGCTGATGGAGCTGCTTTCCAGAAGGTCGGAGGTTTGATACTCTTTCTTCCCACCCAGTGCCTTCCAGAAATCAGCTGCAGAACATGCAGAATATTGGCAAGGGCATCCAGAGCTCTGGAAACACTACAAACAGTTCTTTCAATTTGTCTGCTCCACCAGAACTGGACGGTTACTAAATGAAGACATGTCTGTGAAATTCTTTTGTTTGATCTGTGCTTGCTATCGTGGTACAGTATACAAATCGGATTACAATTATCCTGCTTAAGGTTTGTTGAGGCGTGATTATGAAGTCAAGAATGACCAGGTGATGAGTATCAGAGCAAGAAATACAGAAAAAACATGAATCTCCTAAATGTCAGACCTTCGGGACAGAGCATACACCTGATGAAAGTTTTTTGAAAGGTACTGCAGTGGGCCAGCCTGCTGCCCCAACTATCTAAAGGCCTCCTGGTGTGGCAGGTGTATGGACCCCAGGACCAGACTGGCTGACAGGTGAGGCAGAACGAGAAAGCTGAGACATTCCTGGTCACACTGTCACTCCGTTTCAGATCTCATCAAGGAAAGGATCAGGAAGGAGGAAGAGGAGTTTTGCTCATTTGACTTCTTCTGATTGATTTGAGTTGAGAGGTCTGACCCTGTTTTCATTTCTAAAATGGATCATTTAAAAGAAGTACTTTGAGTTTGAATACCCTCTGTCACCAAGCTTCCCAGATACCCGCGGGGCAGGCCGGCCACAGCTGCATTATCACAATATTGTGGAGGAGCATTTCATACATTTTCATTTTGATTTGCTGAATGCGACAGATGTACCGTACATGCTCAGAAACAGTCAACATTCCTAAATTTGAGCAAACCTGGTTCTTTTCCTTCTACAATCCTGCTGGCTTTGCAGTGAAGCACTTTGCTTATATATTGGGCTCCTTTCTCTTCTTCCTCACTGGCTCCTTTTCCTATCCAGATATGGCCATCGCCACTTGGAAGCTTCAGAAGGAAAGCATCATTGGAGTTCAGACTCTGAGCGTCTGCATCCACCTAGACAGAAAAAACACGAGTCTGTCAGAGAGCTTGGGATCAAATATAGTGTACTTTAGTTCTGGTAGGAAAAATAAGAAGTTCTAAGAATGAACAAGGAAATTTCCCACCAAGAATGGAAAAACGCAATTTTCAAAAATAGTCCAAGTTTTACATCATTATTTTATTATAAAACCTGTCATGTCATGTTTACATTTTAAAAGGTTAGCTGATTTGTTGACCATGGGAAGAGTATTAATTTATGGGATAACATAATATTACAATTTAATCATGTACTTTTATAAAACTGCAAGGTGCTCCATGTCAAGTTAGAATTACCAGAATATGTTGATGCGGAACCTGTATAAAGTACCACTAAAAAAAAAACCAAAATATTAATTAATGCAAGAACTACAGAAATATAGACACGTCCCACTTGATAGAAGAAGAGGACTACTGACATGAGTAACAGCTGTCCGATTGTGAGAGAATTTGCCCAGGTCTTCTCATTACTAGCCCAGAGACAGAGAGGAAATCGGCTCTGTGAGGGAGAGGCTACATTCCGGAAGGTCGGGGGTCACCACGTTTGAACCAGAACTGCCACATCCTTCTGATCCATCTGTGTGATCAGTCTGCATGAGGAATTCTGGGCAGGAAGAACCTGAGCATCAGCAGTAAGTGATCTGTTGCCTCGGAGGTTGTTTGGTGTTAACAAGCTGGCGGCTGAGAAGTGGCATTGTCATCTTCAGTTAACCGAGAGACTGTGACAGAGAAAGGGTCAGTCCTATTCTGTGCAGACCTAAGGGAAAGTAGCATGTGTGTGGAGAGCATAATGTTGACTGCTGAGTGCTTCAAGCCAACCAGTGGGACAGCAGGAGTGAGAAGATGTGGGGAGGAACCTTGCTTAGCATAAGAATACATCGCTGAGGTCCTTGAGCCATCTCTTCCATTCCTGCAAGCCATTCAGGAAGTGGTGCTTTTCCAACAGAACAATGTGAGACTCGCATGACCATAGTCCAACTTGAAGAGAGCGATTTCCAGGAACCATCTCGTCTATGCAATCAAATTTAAATATCAGTGTGTGAGCAAAGACTGTGTTTATTTAGCAGTTTCAGTTCGGTGACATTTCATCGCGGGCGATGAACTGTTTCACAGAAACCAACGAACCTGCTATAATGCACTGTATAATTCTGTTTAGTACAGAATGTGTATGGCAGGAACTTGAGTGGTATTACTTCTTTAAAGCTGCGTGGAACCATTTCTTACAATTTTGATGACAGTTGTTTTGTTTCAGCGGGTGGTGTCAATAACTATGTATTAATGGGATTTGCCTTTTGAATGCGGGAGACTGCTCTCGTGCTCTTCAGATATTGACTTTCTCTTACCTCAGAAATCCTTGTGATGATTCCCAGGTTCCTCCGCACCTGGAAGAGGCGAGTGGGGGCAGCTGGGTCCTGCCCCCCCTTCCTGGAGGTTCCGTTTTTATAGACCACCAGGGGCTTGTCTTTGAACAAGCTCAGTAAATGCACTGGTTCTTTGCCTTGCGACACCCTCACCTAGAAGAGCAATTCAGCACACAGCTTAGTTTACCTTCTCCGCTCCACCAGCACAACCCGCGTCTTTAATATGTGAGCAGCATCTGCACAAGACTTTTCTCAGTTGTATTTTAAACCGGACCCTTGTTCATGTTTCACAAATGCTCAAGAAATGCAAAAAAAAACTGTTATACCTTAGAACATCAAGTTCATCGAATAAAATAATGTAATTTAACCGCATTCATTATTAACTTAAACACAATTATGATGGTCCAAGTAGCATAAAATAGCAGTAGCAATAAAGGTTGCAGCCCAGTGGATAAACAATGGAGTTATAGTGGATATATAACGGAGGTCGTTCTGAATTGTAACAGTACAGGATATTGCAGCAGAATTGTAGCAGTATATTATTGGTGTATTATTATTATTATATTATTGGTGCCTAAATCCCTAGGATGCAAAGAAGAGGGTTCATATCCTTTCTAGGTCTCTGGAGCTGTACCCTTGAGCATTCATATATTCTGGTGTATGAATGAAAGCACACCAGGCCAACACTGTAAATAAGAAATTTTCTCAGCGTCAGCCTCTTTGTGTTTTTCTGCTCATGGCTTCCAGGTGGCGCTTTAATGCCATTAGTGGCGCACGCTCAGGACTGCAGGGCTGGGAGACTCTCACGTGGGCCAGAGCCCTGGAGGTTCAACGAGTGATTTTCAAGGAGATATTGATTAATGCTTTAAAAAACTAAAAAAAACAATCAATTCCATCTAGATAAGACAGGAGATAAAAACTATAGCTCCCTGAAAAATGCAGTTCACCGTCACTGTTTTATTAAAAACACCCTGCTACTCTGCTGCTCATACACACAAACAAATAATATCTATTTTGTGGAATTATGCATTCAGTTTTCTCAAGAAGACTTGTTTTTATGGACTTATTTACTGTATATAGGTAATGCATACAATAGTACATTCATACACTATATGTACTGTATATGTTTAATGAAATAATTAATGAATAATATTCAATAATAAACTAAGACAACAACTAATTCAATTTTTGAAGATCTGTGCAGTAACACAGAACAGTTTTACTGTAAGAGAAACATTTGGATAAACATTTCTGGAAAGATGAAAATGCAGAAGAACCATCTCAAAGAAAAGCATAGTTGAAAAGCTACAGTCTTTATACATAGAGTGCTGCAATCCTGTATGAACAGATTATTCTTAAATTAGTTGGTTTTGGTTTGGAATTGCAATAAACTAAATGAAACATTGCTGGTTCACAGGAGAGCTGAATCAGGAATTAAAAAAAATGTAGAACGTGCAGATACAGATTTTGTTTATGTACAAAGCAGTGAAAACAAGCGTAGCTGACTCATTTACACCGGTCTTGTAAAACAAGCCACTGTCCATTTCGGAAGAATAGTCTACCTGAACTGCTTGCCCTCCGAGGGACCGATCCAGCTGGACCGTGAGGAAAGCAGAGGCAGTGAGCTCGTCGCGAGTGGCACTGGAACCCTGCCTGAAAATTGCATGGATATTAAAGCTGAGATCACTAAGGACTGATTATCACAGGTACATTCCGAGTGACGAAAAGATGAGAGAGCACCACAGTGAGTAGGCATCCAAATATGACTTCTAAAACACAATCGACCCATGTTTGGATTTCTAAACCGCTGCGAAGACCACTACTACTGCTACTGCCATTGCTACTGCTACTATAAAAATAATAGAACAATCACAAAAAGAAGCCTCTTTCAAAAATAGGTTTTCTGACTAGATTAAAAAGCACCCGGTGTAGCTGAGTTTAGTACAAAGCAACACAGGGTCCCGTCACCTGTAGGGTGGAGAAGTCCAGTTGGGACACTCAGTTAACCAGACAGCTTAGCGAAGGTTACCAAATAAAATCAATCAACTGGGATGTGGAATTTTGAAGAAAACCCGTTTATGAATTTAGATGCAATTTATTGTATCTTCAGCATTGTGATCTTGATAAAAGCCAAAGAGACTAGAAACCATCAGAAATTGGGAGGTGTGAATGCACAGGCCTTACTGTATGACAGTATGTTTACACGCTTCAACATGTGAAATGCTTTAATGACTTTTAAGTGATATTATTTCTGCAGAAGCTGCTTTAACGTTAATTAAACTGTTTGAACTGTACTGTATCAAAGTGCTGGATCACTTTTTGTGATGTGGTTTGACAAACAACATCCTTCCTGGTGAAAAAAGCATCTGAAGTAGAAAGTGGAGTGAAGAAAAAGACATTAATACTGATGTATGTGTGCTCTGAAAGCTTTTTAACAACCCTATTTTCATGATAACCTAGTTGGCAAAAGGAACTAGGCAGCTTATTTCTGCACGTGCACAGTAGTTCCAAAAGCAAGAAGAAACTTGTCTTCTTAATTCCTTTTCAGCTAACATCACATTTGCTTTATCTGTGGGACATCTCTGGGTTTGATATCGGTTTCTTGTGTTTAAATTAAGCATCATGGTGGTGCAAACCTCACTGGAAGTGCATTGCAGTACATATGTGTGAACCCCAGGCAGCAGAAAACACAAGTCATAAAAATAATGTGCTGTTTCAAGCAACATGAGACCTCTGCAGACTTCAAACACATTGCCTCCCATGAACTTGTATTATTTAATGTATACATAGTGCGGTAAATAAAGAACTGTCTCTGAGTTTATCATTTCATCATAATGCACAGGAATAAAGTAATAAACTTACCAGGTGTAGATGATCTGGCCTCTTGTGTAAGTGTACAGGATGATATAACAGTCGCCACCATAAAACTGACCATATGTAGCTGGCTCAACAGGGATTCTGCCACTGCTTTCAACTCTCCAGATCTAGAACACATCACAAAACGTTACAAAATGAATAGAATTGAATCAAAATATAAAAGTATAGATTGCATATGTTTTGACTTCACACCTCTCTTCATCTCTCCCAACTTCACACCCCCTGAGTGTCCACTTTGCTTCTCTCCTGCTCCTGCCTCCTCTCCACTCCCGGCTTTTGTTCTCCCGCCTTTATCAGCTGCTGACTTTCCTCTCTTTCTCACACCCAAAGAAGGAATAAACCTTTACTTGTTCCTTTGAGGCCTATGAATGGTGACGCAGCTGCCTATATGAACTAAATTGCAAATGGCAGAACATGGACGAAAGTTCTGCTCCGTCACAGCTCCTGGGTCCTGTGACATTTCAAAGTGCTTCGTTTCCTCCCACAAACCAACACCATGTTGCCGCAGTTAATTGGTGTCTCAAACAGTCACACATGAGTGGGAGTGCGTGTCCTGTGATGGACTGCCTTCCTCTCCAGGGTACTTCCTGCTTTGTGCCCACTGTCTGCTGGGTGACCCTCCAGCATGAGCTTGTGCTGGACACAAGTAACATGGTAAGATACAGTCTTTGTTTAATACTGACGGATACATTGTCCACTCCCTAGGTCAAATAATAACTTAGTAAAATATCTCCCATGCTTTTTTAATATTGGTAAATAAAATGGGAAGATTGTTTTTAGAAACATCAGGTAGGATTAAGTACATTTCAGTATCCTCTGCCCTCACTTCCATTAAGCTGTACTGCGACAGAAAATAAACTTGTGAAGTGGAAATCACATGTGGACACACCCCAGCTGCTTGTGTCATCTCTTTCACCAGCTTCCCTGATATGTATCACGAAAGCCTTGCCATAAGCAGACTGTGAAGTTGTGTTTATTCCTTGTGCTGTCCGGTCCCAGCAGGTCACAGCGTGGTCATGACAGGTATTTCTGTAGACCTGTGTCATGAATCAGTTCACTAATGACATCATTAGTAATTCACCTGAAGTACTCTCAACAGTTGGTAGCGTAGAGGAGTCCCTCATATTACTGTTCATTTTTGAAAGGACTTTCATTTCTGTATTTAAGAGTAGCCTACCTAGATGAATTAACAAATTCACATTTCCTGGTGGAACAGGGTGTATTACCTCGGTTTTCCCTGTCCCATCATCTACCATGTTGTACTGTGCTGCCATCTGACGGGACACGTGCAATTTGGAGGCATCGAATTCCACTTGTTGGATCTTTGCAATCCTCTCTGTGACAAAAACCTTTCCGAAGCCCTCACTTTGGTTTTTGTCCTTCCAGTCCCTGAAAAACTGTTTGAAGATAGGAGTCTCCCCACCTTCCGGAAGCACTTGGATCTGAGCAATACGAAAAACAGGAATGTTTATCATCAGGGCACGTTATGCACAGTTGTCACAGTTGTTATCATTCTCCTCTGCTTTTCTAGTTATGTTTTGCAGCAGTAGTCAACTGTACAATTCAATTCAAATAATACCTGTTAGTTAAAATCTCATCACCAGAAACAAAGAAATGCTGAAATGGTGTTTGAATCCAGTTCCAGGGACATGGACAGATCCGAAGTACACAGCCAGCATCAAAAACTGTGTCCGGGAATCTTTAATACGTTTTGGGAATACCTGGCATTGTGACTTTATGACAAAGGACACATAACATTATGATGTGGCCCTCAATTAAGTAATTAACAGTTTAATGTGGCTAATACTTCTTCATCTAATAATAATCACAGGGAGTTCATGATCATATTTTATATAGACTGCTGCTTGCACTATGAATACTGTATTTGTTAGGAATTCTTAGTCATACACTGCCCAAAATAATAGAGTATGTTCCATAGCAGAACCCATCTTGCTCAAAGTACTGAGAAGAGCTCTTCACAACCCATGACTCCAGAGGACTGTGGAATCGCAGCAGGACATTCCCTTAATGTGTTGCACTGCGGGAAAGAAGGCCGATGTAAGTGACCGCACTAGAGACGTTTTCGTGCCCATGTGCCTCTGGTGCATGAGAGTTACATCAGACCGGTTATTCTGTCAGTTCAGACAACCTCAGAGGAGTTTGTTTTCCCTTATGGTTTAAATACTGAATCTGTATAGTATTTCCTACACAAGCAATAAAAATGACTTGTTAGGTAATGCAATTATTGTTTTTCTTTCATTTTAAGTGTGCAAAACCACCTGTGTATTTTGAGGGTAGCCCATCTGTTTAATAAACCCTTCTGCTGTCTTCATTGCTTCTTTTCTCTCATCAGGGTTGGCATTTTTCCCTTAATGAGAAAAAACGCAGACACTGAACACACAAACGGAACTGACAAAACGATCATCTTGAGATGCTCCGAACTCAGTGAATGTCCATATGTCCATTTAAGAGATACTTCTTCAGCAATGCCGTTTTAAGAAATGTTTTAAGAAATTAATCCTAGAAAAATATATATCTTACACCTTTCATAAACAACAAGAACAGTGATGAATTATATGAGGTTCCTTTTGGGAAAATTACTTATTCTTTTTTGTGAACATGCTAAAATACCTTAAAATGAAGCTAGAATACAAGAAATTCATTGAAGCCTTTTTTTATTTTTATTTTTTCATGTCTAGCACTCCAAATTACTGTATATGCTGTTAAAGCGAAAGAAAAAAAAAACATCTACTTTTTCTATGAATCGTCACAGGACAAGACATTTACGACACCATGGACACATCTCATCAACAGTTTAAACATCCTAGTAACTGTGCTGTACTACAAGGGTCTAGGAACCTACAGCAAGTGGGTCCTAAGATCTCAAGGACTGGCAGCGATAGCACACTGTACACAGAACAAGAACAGTTTTGTCTCAACCAAAGTGCATACCATTTTAAAACAGATGAAAAGAAGCCTCACCTTTCCACACAAATATCATTTTGCTTTTCCCATGGTCCAAGATAAAGCACTCCTCCGACAGAAGAAGGCTCTGTGTGAATGGGTTTTCTTCAGACACTAAAGTCACCTGCATGGAACCAGTGGCGTCCGATACCTCATGGATAAAAGTGTAATTAATTAATTCTAAAAGTACATATGGTGATATGGTACATCAAAAGGGTAAATTGTTGCCAAAAGGCATGGGGACATAGTTTTTTTTTTCTGCAGACCACACACTTGACACAGCTCCCCATTCCAAAATCACCACAGATAAGCAATGTCCGCTGTACACATGTGGCTGAAGACACCGGCACCGCTCACATCTGTGCCTGGCACGTCTTCATGTCAGATTCCTGAATATCCCCACTGATACACTGTGCAGACGAAAAACAAGGATGTGGAACTTTCCATACCATGAAGAGCTTGGCCATTTTCCTGTTGGAAATGTCTGCCATTTCGTCATCATTTTCATCCCCATCTGGAAGATTAGGTTTACTGCCCAACACCTGGGAAGATACATAACAAAGATGGGACTCCTCTTCAGACAAGACCTACACTAGTTCATGAACAATTCACTTTATTCAATCAAATAGAGCTGTACCATCTGTTCCTTTTGCTTTACCTTATCCTCCATGTATAAAATACATTATAATGCGAGCGGATATTAAAAAGACTGGCCCGTTAGGGAAAAACAGAACAGGAGTGCATTTTGACATTTGAACTTTCCTTTCTTTTTCAGATGATAGCTTAAGGCACGAAGCTTCTATTCTTATCTTTCCTTTGTTGGCTCCGATGTCAAAGATGAAATGGTTCATTATTCATAATGAAACTGAATTTTCTGGTTGTCTCCAGAGTGTTTTAAATACATGTGAATGATTTATTTCTCCAACACTGGTAGTGTACTGGGGGAGTATGTACACATTTAAAACTGAGGAATTATCTGTGAGGCAAAGCTGTTTGTCTTTACAAACAATTGCTTCATTACAAATTTAACTTGTATTTCAGGAGAAGGCGATTTTAAGAGTGTTGAATCCAGCAACATACATTTTTAATATAGGTCTGTCCAAAAAAAACCTAGATTAGAACCTCATTTTCAACACATCACGATATGATTCATGTGCTGTTTAGATTCTATTCCATTTTCATATGTAAAATAAATGTAATATAAACTCAATTAAACATTAAAAATGTTATGTTTACAGAAACCTAATTGTACAATGTTAAGTTTAAAACATGAGTATGGAATATTTTAGATAGCACCAAAGAAAGGGCATCAAGACAGTTTTGTTTCAACTTTTTCTTTCAAAAAGTAGGTGAACGTCAGTTAGAAAAATATGCAAACTAACTATGTAAGCATGGGAAGTAGGAATTTGCACACAAACAGATGTGATGCCAGGATTTGAAATGTGGAGTGTTACTGTGAGTAATAAGTAAATCTAAAACACTAAAAACACAAATGATTGAAAAATGTGTTTTACCAACAAAAAACATCTAACAATGAGTAGTGACAATTTATTTAGCATAATCTAAAAAAAATCCTTATATAGAGTACTAAAGTAAATGAAATACAGAAATTTGTGAGGTGTAAATACCATCGTTAACTCAACAAGGCTAGCTGTCTCTATGATGCTTCATTACAAGTTTATTTTGATTCATGCTATTTTAATTTCTGCTTAATGATTGAAATTATCTTAAGAAACCTTCAGTGCTCCGTGCCATCTGAGGACAGGGTCGTCTTTGTATAAAATATTCTGCCAGGGCTCAGCTTTTGCTGGGGTCCAGGATTTGAAACAAGGAGGTCTTTCATTCTGTGCCTTCTCTTGAGAGGCTGACTGTGCTGATGTGCAGCTCAAACTAGGAAAAAAACACATCATATCCACGTCCAAGTAAAACTCTGGCTCCCTGAGCAGGTTAAGTGTGGCTTTTATGCCTCTCCTGTTCACTTACTGTATTAGGCACTAAATAGCTTAACTCCAGGTTATTTATAGGACTCAGTGTGTGTGTACAGTCCATCTCTTAACCTGAGATCTGTTAATTTAGACTCTCTGCTGAAGACCAGACTCCACCCAATGGGAAATGGAACCACATATGCAGCACCATGTCTGTGGAAGTCCTTCCCAAATCTCCTAGAGGCTCAGAAACTGTTGAAATTTTAAAATGTGAGTGACAACCGTGTCTTTTCTTTAAATGTAAAGCTTTAAGCTTTAAGCTTTTCCTTATGACATATATTATGTGGGTGCTGTTGTAAAGTGTTTTGAATTTCCTGAAATGTGTTTCTGAATAAAACTGACTGTTCTATTTAATTGTTGCCTTATACACACTTTAAGAGACAGAAAAATGGAATTTAATTGAACCACTGTTGCTTTCAAGTAGACCAAATGCCAGATCCTTAGCTAAATCTGAGATGAGTACTGTGTGGTACAGGAAGTGGGAAAGTATTGTCATAACATAAATTTAGATTTTTGGCAACAATGTGGCCTTATTTATATCACTTTGTAAAATATTTTACAATCATTTAAATTCGACATTACAGGAAAATAGAATGTGTAGAGTGTATATAAAATATATATGCAGTGTTGAAATACATTTACAACTTTTTTGAGTCTTCTCTCCACAGCAGAGTAACACGTTGCCAGAATGGAAACATTTGAAGCTACAGTTTTTTTTTAGTAAAGCTTCAGTACAAATTTGTGGTGGTTTGTTTCTAAGGTCTGAGTACTGTGTCGGAGTAAACATGATACAAAAACAACGAAAAACGGCTTTAATGTCCTTGAGGAGATTTCTTCCTGTGTTGTTGTAGCACTACACAGCTGATTTTCTACTGCAAAACAAATGCAAACACATTGTTTTGAAACTGGCATGCACGGTTTCAACACAAAAGCAAATAGCTTGCATTAAAATAAAAATTCAGAGTTGTTTTGCTTGTTTTTCAACTTTTACAGAAATGTATCCTGTATAAAAAGCATACAGGAGAGAGTGTGATGGCTGCAGGGAAGAGCTACCAGGAAGCTGCTTCAATTCAAATTCTGCGTACCATAATCTCTTTACTTATTCATTGCTGGCACACAGCCCAGGGCCAATCTTCACAGAAATGGGCAGCCAAAGAAAGAACAATGTCCTTACCTGAGTTTGAGATTATTGTAGACTAATTAAACTTCTTTTGATATATAAAATCCTTCCTTACGCTTATAGTTTATAACCTAGGGAATAAAACTGCAAACTGTACTGTGTTGGAATGAGGATGTTGTAAAATTAACTATAACTTCATCAGATGAGCGAACATTTAGTTTTAATAGATGAGTACATCATGTAAGTATACAGTGCAGACATATATAAAAATAGCCGTCCATGGCTGCTAAGTTTTCCTTTATATGCAGTATCTGAAAATTGAAATTAGAAGTCTCCTTGGACAGTTCATCTTTCTTCCACTGTGGAACATTCCAAGGTAATTAATATTGATATTATCCTGAAATATAGTCCAAACATGTCATCTGCCAGTGATACTGCAGTGTGTGAGGGAAAGGAGTACTGGACTGTTAAGGCAGTGATAGGTAAGAGTGATGCTCAACAGCGGAAGACTGTGAAAAGTGGACAGGTACTGTAGCCCCTGTCCGTCAGCCCTGTACTTGTGCGCGAGTGCCCTCAGCTCTGGAGTGGGGCACACGTCAGGAAGTGGCACTGAGCGTTTTGCTCTGTTTTTGTGTGTGGCTGTGTGGCTTGTGTTTACCTGCTGGCCTCTGGGTGCTGCCAGCTCTGAAGGAAGGGCTGCTTAGTCTTTATCTGAGGGCATTACATTGGTTCAATATTGACTGTACTTCATACCCTTGGAAATCCAGATGTATCTTCCAGTTGACCCTGTCTTTTCTAGCACCCACTGGATCATTCATTTTTCATCCATGGGCCATTATCCCTGCTGTTCCTATTTTGTATGTATTTCCCCATGTTATTGTTCCCCCTTGACGTTTGAACAGGTATTTGGTATCAATCCATGTCATCATCTCCTTTTGTAAGGATTCCGGTAACTCTGTGCTATTTACAGTATTTTGAATAATGTAAAATAGGAGAAGACCACTTTATTGGCCATATATAATCTCTTGCATTAGGAAATTCGTCTTCTCACATACCCTAGCTTGCTCTCCATGAGACACACAGAGAAGCTTGGGGTTGAAGTGCAGGGTCAGCCATTATACAGGACCCCTATAGCAGCTGGGGATTAAGGGCCTTGGTCAAGGGCCCAACAGAGTAGGATTCCTCTGCCACCTGTGGGATTTGAACCAGCAACCTTCCAGCCACAGGCACAGATCCTTAGCCACAGAGCATTCTGACTGATTCCACTCCACTCCTGTCTGTCTTCTGGGAAAGAAAGTCTCCTTTATACATTGGGACCTAGCTTGTAATTTTGCAACACTCCTGAAGAACCCTATTTGTCTATTCGTGCATTTTAGGATTTGCACAGGACATCCAGGTGTGGTTTCCTGTTCTTGGCTTTTTCTAAGATCATGTGGGAAAAAGACTAAGACCCAGATTAAATAACACCGTGACCCGCCCAAGAACTGCAATTTGCAGACATGTCTCTTCATGGCCGTTCTTAGTTTGCCAGGAGTTTATGTCTTTTGGCCTTTCATTTCCCATGCTAACTGATGTCAGGTTTTCTCTTAAGCAAGTAGGTTACACTCCATTTTAATTCTCTGAATCCTGTCACGCACCAAGCCCAATGTGTGCTATCTGCTGGACAGAGAACTGACTTGATGTATTACTGGAGTTCATAATGACAGTTTAGGAAGATTCATCTCATAAATACCCCCCAAACCATCCTGTACACCACCACAATTGCAGCAACATTTTAGTCTATGCGTTTCTGGCCAGGTTGTGGTACCCCAAACCAGGTCACAAATACCAATACTCTTTCTGCAATGGTGTTTTGGGGAGTTGTGTGTAATGTACAGGTATATTTGGAATGAAAGTTCATTTTTTGTTGGACACAAAGATGTTATATTGCATTTGTTGAAAACTAGATGTTTTAGACGTGTTTAACACAGACGTTCCGGTTCAAGTGCCGTCACTAGGTAAGGGATTTCAACAACAAGTCAAGAATGTGGAACCAGGCCTGCTTCTCTGTAATAGGTTTATTTTTCCAAAAGAGTGTGATTCCTTTATAAGATAGGGACTCTTCATGTCGATGGCCTAAAACACTTCACAGGTGGAAACTTACAGAAAGGATAAGAGTATACAGCTAAGAAAACAACAAGATCTCCCTTACTTTTTTCATCCTCTCTGGTTCACTTCCTTCTTCCACGACAATCAGCTGAGCCCTTCCGTTCCTCTCGTTGTCACGGATACCAGTTGCCACCTGTGCGGCCTTCAATCGCTCAAACTTGTTGCACAGGGAGCCACACCACTGGTAAATGACCTGGAGATAAAACGAAACTGATGAAGCATGGCAAACACATTCAGAACCGCCAACACATATTTATACTTCACAACAGGTTAGCTCTGTGAGCTTCATGAACAACCACTGTGGTTATCATGGATAAAAAAACTGTACTGAACGTTTTCCACATCCTAAATCCGGAGCAGTCTCTTTCACATTTTCACATTCAGTTGCTCCTTTTGAAAATAAAACTGAAAAGAAGCTTTTACAATACAACATAAATAGCCCACATTGATCTAGCCGGTAACCATATAAATAATAAAAATACCAATAAAAAATATAACCCTTGTTCGTATAGCTAAGAAATTAGTCATGTATTTGCTAAATGTTCCAATAGAGTTGGGACTGTCTTCGTTTTCCCAGTGTGCAGAGAGATAATACCACTGTTTATCCACGTAATGTGCCCACGTAGCCAGATCTCAATTACTTGACCTGTGTGTTATTCTCAGTCAAGGAGGGGAAATGTATTGTGTCTTCGCACAGGAATATGATTGGATGTGTGTGATCTAGAGTTCAATGAAGAAAACAGGTACAGTGGTGAACTGAAATTTCATCTGGAAATATCTTGAAAAAACATACACCTGCGAAGTTCTTGATTTTTTAAGTGATAGTCAACATGTCAGGTCTGGAATTTGTACAGAAATTAAAAGGTTTTGTCGTCTCTTTCTTATCATCACAATGGTTATGTGAGCAACAGTATCACCTACACATTCTCCTACACCACCATAAACAGCACCCAAATATCCATTGGCTTATGCTGAAGAAAACCCTGACATAACTTTGTGTGTATGTGCTGCACGTAGACTGAACTTAGGAACATTCAGAATGCTTTGATTGAAATTGTTATATAAAAGAAAAAAACAGGAAAGGAAAACTCAAAGATGGAGGCTTATTAGAAGAGAATGAAATAAATTAACTTGATGCCTGAAAGCCGGAGTGCTTAAAATACGTCACAAATCTTAGTCTATAGACAAGACAACTCAAGGACATGACACATTTGTCAAATGGAGAGGCTTTCAGAGGGAAATATATCAAATGTTATATAATATGCAAGTCCTTGTGGGCAAAGATGGTGTGATTCGGCCTCCTCTGAAGTTCCTGACTGTTTGGTGATGAAGTAACCAATGAGCATGCCCCTGAGCCTCATGATATTTTAACCTGATCTAATCAAAATTAAGCTGCAAGAGTTTACTCAGTTCTTTAGCCAAACAGAGACACATATCTTCAGCTGTGTGCCTTAAGTGTGAAGAAAAAAACAAGAACAAAAGAGGAGGTCATTTTATGTCAGGTTTCAGGGAAAAAAAGAATGTGCTCTTCTTACAACGACCTGCAGTAGAGTGAGCACATCCTCACAGACTTGCAACAATACTGTGCTTTAGATATATCAGTCTTTTGCATGAAAACAGAACAATCTCTTTAAAATCAAAATGTAAATTAGAGACAAACACAGTATTACACACTGGGGTTTGAAAATGTATTTTCTATTGTCCAGTGCAGTAAACCCATAGGAAATCACAGTAAATGCATTGTCAAACCAATCTTCACATGGTTCCTATGAGAAATCCTTAATAGAACTCTACTGCTATTTTATCATATATACAAAATTCAATACCTACGTTCAATCAACTGCCTTTTGTAGTTTTACCTATGCTTTTTCCCCCAGCTGTACTGTACATAAGCAAATCATATTTTTCCTAATCAAACACCTTTTAAGAAATAGATATTAAGTAAACATGCCTCGGTTACCGCACATGATTAGCATGATTAACATGAAAGCTTGTCAAATATTTGTAGCCAGTTAATTTAAAGGACAACTCTAGTTTGCCATGATAGGCAGCCCATTCTGACTGTTTCATATTTACTGGCATCTGAGAAACTCATAAATGTTCATCTAAATATAACACAGAGAAAACACAACAAATGTTATTGGTTCCATTATTAATTGTGTGTTTAATTTCTTTCTGTATATAATATTTTTGCATAGACTAGAAATAGTAATTATATATGGAAAACTAGCCATAGAGATTAATCTGAGTAGAAAGCAATGAATGCTGTACTATGAATGCTTTTAAAGATAGGTTCTCATTTAAATACTGCATTTGCTAAAAACAGATATCTGATACTAAAGCTGGGCAGGATGTGAATGTTAACGCTCTGCATGTTTGCTAAGAAAAACACATAATCAAGTATCAAGTAGTGATGCCGGGCAAAACAAACAGACTGAAAGGAGTTTATTAAAACTAATAAGACCTGGTTTAAAAACAGTTTCTAGGGAACTGAATGCTTGAATGCTGTGTATTACTGAAAATAGTATTGGTATTGCTTTCACAGTAATGATGGAAAATTAACAGGAAATCTACTTTTCTGTGGAAGTGCAAAGTCCGTCATATAGTGTAACATACGCCTGTTACGGCAGTACTAATATGAAGTGTAAATACAGCAGGGCAGGGTTGTCCAACCACTGTTCCACCTCTTAAAGACTGACTGATCTTTACTTTTCAAGGAGATTCAGATCTATTACAGAATTAGAAAAAAGAAAAAAAGTTCAATTTAAATTACCAGAAACTCAAGGAGGTCTACACTTAAATATGGAGTATGGGTGAACTATTTTCTTTTTTCCACTTTTGGCAAATACAAAAACGCAGTAATAAAATTTGAACAAAACATGTCCTATTAGCCTGGTTCTCCTGTGGGCAGGGCAAGATGCTTTCAACAAACATGGGAATCAGGGGTTTCCGCTGTCCCAGGGATGTGGAATCCAACATGTTTCACGACTCTAGTCTTATTATGCTCTAGACAGCTCTTCACCTAGGAGAAGCGTTAAATTGATCCAATCTAGGTTTAAACAGACCAGGATATCCCTTCTCCATCAACGTCAGCTGCTGACAATTTAATGAGACACAGAAAACCCACAGAACTGCAGACCCCCTAGGTCTAGAAATGAGATTTCCATTCTCCCATTAAGACTAAAAAAAAATATAAATCTGCACTCTAATTTTTTAGCTTTCCATTTTTTTTAATCAGCTGGAAGATATTCCTTGACTTTTCTGTGGTTTTGAAAAGCATTCTAGTAGAGGACTTAAAACGTCTGATTGGAAGAAGACACTGGGAGAGCCTTATGTGCTGGGTCTCTCTTTTTTAAAATGTTTTTTTTTTCCTCGCAGATTAGTTTTGTTGATTTAGCAATGTCTGTGTCTTACTCAAGCTTAGGTTTCCAATGCAAAACCAATGCCATTTTCTCTAAACTAAATGCTGTTATTTATATACTGAGCAGGCTCTGATATCTGCTTAGGGGCTGTGGTCACCCTGGAAAGTGGTGCATCCGGTTTTGTGGGTTTAGTACATAGCAATGTAATTTTCTTCCAATAAATGCAGTGAGTCAGATTAGCAGCAAAGTTTCGCAGGGACAGATTGGCGAATGTGCAGTGTAGAGTACAGTGAATGAGAAGCATGTGCGATGCAAGCATAAGCTTTGTTTGATTGAGTAGATTCATATGTGTAAGTCAGAAAACAGGAGGCAGTAGAGCCATCAGACCCTAGCTCACTTGAGACTGGAACTCTGTTGTGGGCAGCAGAAGACACTTTAGCGACCCAGAAGAGTAGCCTGATGTGAACTGTACTGATACTGAAGCAGGATAGGAACTGGTAGTGAATTATCACTTGATGAAGTTTTCTAGAATTAAATGAATATGGATGGATTCCTCTAGGAACCCCAAAACAAGCAGAAATATCTAAGTTTGCAGGTCGAAGCTTTGTGGGGAGAAGTTGAGGGCTGACACTGTACCAGCTGGACACCAGAAGAGTGGAGAAACCCATCGCCGTACCATTAACAATGAAGATACAATGAAGATAGGCTGGAGCCATAGCCGTGGTAGATTGGAAGCTCAAGAAGAAACAGAGAGAAAAAAGAGGAGAGGGAGGGGCTAGTGAGATTAGAAGAAGAGAGAAGCGTGTGAGGGAGATGAAATGGCCATGGTCGATCAGAGTTCCTGAAAGTGATGACATCAGGAAAAGAGGAGACAGCAAGGCAGCAGCAGAGAGATGGTTGTGTTCAGTGGAGAATTTAAGTTTCAAAGAGCCACTCATTGAAGAAGAGGTGAGAAAGCTGTCACGCCCTCTACATCTAGAGGGCGTTCCTTCTCCGTCCTGTTCTTAGTTTCCCTGTGCTTCTCTTATCCTTCTGTTGTGTCATTGTGTGGGGCTATATATTTTCGGGGCACTCTTTGCTCCTCGCTCAGCATCGAGGGTTCGGATGTCTTGATACCCGTCTAGCACCAGGCCGTCTCTTCCGTGGCCTGAGGGCACAGGTTTCTACCGCAACATCGTCTGACCCCCTGAGCCCGGGATAACCTCTGTGTTGCCCCTTTTGCCGCTATGCATAGGGTCTCTACTGCTCTCCTTGTCATTCTATGGCTTGCCCTTCCGACATCCGGACAAAAGCAACTCCGTTTCTGGTTCTGGTTTGTAGGGGGCGAATGCTTACCAAGGTAAGGTCTTGGTAATGCCATGGGTAAGAGACACCTGTCTCCAATAAGACTGATGCACTGAGTGCTATAAAGAATTTGCACAAGCAGCGAATATTTATACCTAGGAGAGCAGAAGTGTAAGATTTGACCTCCCCCTGAACTTCTGTTAAATAACACCATAAGTATCTTTTTCTATTGAGTCAGGTTCTTCCTAGATATCAGCTTTCTTTAATTTCTTTGTTGATGACACCAGATTGATATTAATCAAGTAATAAAGGTTCATACATCTGAAAACTCACAAAACCAAATTTTCTTATCAACTCTGCAAAGGTGTCAGCTTTAGTTTGGCTATTGGTGGGTTATAGAATGAGACCAAGTACCAGGCTGAAGAATCCTTGGGTACATTTTTGACACTCATGCAGTGCTGTGAAGGTATGAATCTGTAATCTTCATAACATTGCCCATATCCACACATATCTCACCCAGACAGAAGCAGAAAAGCTAATGCACACTTCTGTCATTTTCAGGCTTTGATGCTTGCAATACAGTGCTTGCTGGTGTATCCAGTCATGTTTTTTAACAAGTTGCAGCATGTACTGGACTCAGCGGCTTGGGTGTAAACCAAAGTTTAAATTAATGAGAATACCTAAAACTGTATATCACCTGTTTTAGTTTCCTTGCAATAATTTCCTGTGGATTTTAGAATAAAATTCAAAACATGCTTGCTCACATGTAAAGGCTTCAAAGGATTGGCTCCTGACTACACCAGTGAGCTGTAGTCTCCACCTTAAACTTATTCATTATCTGTAGATTCTGACCATATGTCAATTCCCTATACAACTCTTTGGATACAGGAACAATGTCTCCTGATTTAATAAAAAATATAATTCCTTCTCTCAGAAACATTCTGAGTCTCAGAGTGTCAGTTCAGTACAGTTTGAGTATTGCAGATGAGTATTAGATTAAACACTTATTTTTGGTAAAAAGCCAAAATGATGTTTCCAAGACTTTTTAAGTTTTAAAAGACACAGTCTGACTACAGAATGGAAATAATTACAGTGCTGGAAAAAATAAAACATTTTTATTCCAAAATAGCAACACATAAACACACCATTGAGAGACAGACATTGTGTGTGATGCACTTATACAAACTGCTTGTCTATAATTTCTGAAACAGATGTATTGTTGTTTCTAAACTACATCCTGATGTAAGGACTAAGCCAATAGTTTAAGTAGCCAGAATTGCTTATCCTTCAGGTTTATACCTAAAACTCTAGTAATCATATACTCTAATCCTTCAAACAGATTGCTTTACAGGTCTAGTGTGGGTGAATACACAGAGATACACAGAATACACAGACCACCTATATGGAAAGAATATCCTAGGAAGCAGTGTATCAGAGAATTAATTTAAAAGGTAGATTTTGCCTAACCAACTTATCAGAGTTCTTTAAACAAGCAACAACAAAAATAGATACAAATAGAGCAAATAATATGGGCCATTTAGATTTCAGGCTTTTGATCAGGTTCTCCATAAAATGTGGAAGGCATTGGGAGAAATGAGAGTGTTTGGATTTAGAAGTGATTATTAAAAAGAAAAGAGAAGGTACAGATAAGAAGTGAATATTCAAATTGGGGTAGTTAGTGGAGATAGTACCACAGGGCTCTGTACTAGGACCACTGCTCTTCTTAATTTATATCAATGATTAAACTAACAACTAACAGTCAGGTTGATGAAAGAACAGGATAAGCGAAAAGAGCAGAAGCTGCAAATGAAATTCAGAAGGACTCAGATAAAATTCAAGACTGGGCAAACATCCGGCAGATGACATTTAATGTAGGCAAGTGCAGGGTTTTGCATGCAGGTAGCAGAGACATCCTGTAAACTATAAATTCAAAATCGGAAATGCGCCGTTAAAAGAAGTAACTTGTGAAAACGATTTAGGAGATTAAGGTGTCTCTAAGGAGATCAAGGCGTTGCACTATTAAGACCTTTTTTTAATATTGTATAAGAACCTGGTCACCAAAAGATTTTGCTGCTCTGGAATCATTGCAGAAAAGTGTATCCAGATACTGTAGATTCTGGTACATTAAGGATTGTCCTACACTTATGGGCTGAAAGAACCAAACCTTTTTAGTTTTGAACGGAGAAGACAATGAGGGAACCTGATTAAGTATTCAAAATTTTATAATTTCTTCATAATAAACAGTGAAATTCGAACCAAAAAATACGAGCGTAAACTATGTACACATTAAAACACATACTGTAACTATGCAACATACAAAACATTAAAAAAAACAAAATTGCACTGATGAAGTGTGACAAGCAGAATAGAATAATGGATTGAAGGGTAAGAACAGAAACAGGAATATGGAAAATCTTGTGGGTATTTAGGTTAGGACAAACAGCAGAGAGAAGGGACCATTACTTTTCAGAAAGAATGCTGAACTGTATCCCAAGAGACAATATATGACTTCATCTAGAAACATATCAGTAAAGACTATGTCCTTCTTTTCTGAATAAAAATAATCAAATGAGATCAATTATACAATTTTAATTCACATTTCTGTAAAATTCTGTTTTTTTATATCATTACATTAAAACCCCTCAATCATAGATGTTCAGAACTGATGTTTATCTTAATTTTTAAACACGAAGCTAAAGTTTAAAAAAAGACTCCTGTGTCACAGGTGTGGGTTTGCTTTGTGGTTTAAGGTGGTTTGGCCCAATTACCATCTGGGTATCATACTTTTAAAAACAAGTACCTACCAGTTTCCAGGAAGCTAATTCATTCTCACCTGTTCTGTAAGATGTAAGTAAGTAAGTACTCACTGTATGTAGTAAGTTACTTATAACAGATATATCAGACATTGAACTCTCACGTGCAGAATAAAGTCAAATATAGAAAAGGTTATTTCTACAGTTTTCTTTGCTGCAAAGCTGGAACAATACATCCAGAATAACAGAGAAATTAATTTTGAATCCTTTATGATGTACAACACAGAATATTTTCATCTTTACAAATGTACAAATGCACCAAGAGAATGCACACGTCTGTAATTAATTTGAATTGTTCATTAAGTTTGTAACTGATTTATTTATATTTTAAATAGTGAGCTGAGACTGTATGCTGTCGATTGTTTGAGTATACTGGTCCTTAAAAAAAACACTGAAGTCATGAACTCAAGTCAAATACTAGGTGCCCATTGTGTGGTATTTGAATTGAGTTAATATTGCAAAATGAGTTGCTTAATAATCTGTACAAAAAGACAATCAATATAAAGTGATTTTAATTAACAGAAGAATAGCAAAAGGCAGTCCAGATGTATACGTTTTCCTGCAGGACAGTGCTAAGATTACAAAAGCTTTTTTCTCCAGTCAGGAGTCCATTAAAACACCTGTGGGACCAACATGCCAGTAATATAAACAGGAGCCAGTTATGACTGGCCAAGCTTCGCCAGCTGGCTGCAGCTCTACAAGAAGAATGATGCCTGTCCTACAGCAGTCCACACAAAGGCTGACCAGCTCATTGTGTCAACATCGCCAAGATTGCATTACTGCCCAGAAAGGTCACGACTGTTAATAAGTTTGGAATAGTTTCATTTTAACACTCTGTTCCTTTTCACACTGAAAGTGTAACGCTGTTGCTTATCTGTATTTTTATTCATGTGTTTTAAAATATTTGATTAAACCTATTAGACCCGAGTGTAACATTTTGTTTTGTGGCTCAATACTTGTGTATGTGCATTTCGATTCGTCACGATTGACAGACAGACACTTACTGCACCAAGATCCACAATAAAGCAGTCTCCTCTGTTGAAACTAGACCAGCTAAGAGGAACTTCGGTGGCCCGGACTACTCGTCTTCCTTTAATGTGAAACAGCCTTTCTGCTGACTGATCATTGATGACAACATGTTGAAATCCTGAAGCAACACCTCCAGCCTGAGAGAAGAGAAATGTTGTTTAGACCTGAACATAAGTCATAAAGAACACTCTTGAAACTGAGATTAATACAATACGAAACTCTTATGACCAAATCTGTCATCTTTTTTTTTTTAATCTAATACCGTTCGGTCAGGCATGTACATTTTTATGGTTCACTCGTATCTGTCTTGAAATCTGCAATGGGAAAATAAGTAGAGGTTCAGAAATGATGTTTCTCTGTTTAAACAAAGGCAACAAGAAGAAGCATTTATACAGTATAATAGGTTTATTCCATGCTGAAAAGAGAAGAGAGAAAACACAACGTTTCGGCTGTGAAGCCTTCTTCAGGTGTGCCGAAACGTTGTGTTTTCTCTCTTCTCTTTTCAGCATGGAATAAACCTATTATTCGTTCCTTTGCAGCCGAGGCATGCTGACGCAGCTCCCCACCTGAACTCCTTTATACAGTATATAGTGAACAATACATTGGGTTTCATTTAATGATCTATAAGGTTTGTCATTTGAAAACCGAAAACCACTACAATAACCAGTTCCACCTAGCCTGTTATCACTGCGTACAGTATATCGCAAATGCATGATTTTCATTTTGATTCACCTTATACTTGATTCCACCTTTGAAATAGCTGGTGAAAGATGTGGACTCATATCCCTGTAGCTCTCGGTACTGGACAGGTTTCCCACCCAAATAGTCGTCCATCTGTACTGTGAAGATGGCAGCTGCTGTGCTCTCGTCCTGAGTGCATTCTTTACCTGGAGGAGGACAAAAGCGTCACACCCTACCAGAGACAGAGGATGAGCAGGTTTCCTTTGTAGGTGCCTTCAGCACTTAATTTAAAACATAAACATTTCATCCCAATCCTCCAACTGAGCCAAAAGAAATCTTATAGGATGTAAGATCTGAATCAAAGCTTTCATAACACTGTGATTTCTTACCGTTTGTGTTGCTTTTGATTACAGACAAACACACACTTTTACTGTGAAACACAGTTCCTGCGTGTGATGTGTGATGAGACGTTGTTGAAAGGTCACAGTTAAAAAGTTCGAGTTAGTTCCTCATGGTAACATACAGCTGGCAGAGTGAAGACAAGGGTGAGCTGTCTCGGTCCTGGCGTGGGTCCACCTGCCTTATCTTGTAGAAGTGACTGCAGTGGTTTGCCAGGTGTGTGTGAACTTCTAACTCCCCCTATTTAGCACCAATAATTAATGCAAAATTGGGGTGATGCAATAGGAAAGCCTGTGTAATTTAAGTTAAAACAATAATAAAAACTTAGTTATAGTGCACAAAATAAGAATGTGCTCATTAGCTGTGGTAAATACAGCTAATCCAAGCTCTGATCGATGCCCTGTTCTATAAAATGTGTAACATGATACATTTGTAGATTAGCATGGTACTCCATGCACCATAAAATGAAATAAATAACAGTTTTATTTTATTACAAGGTTCTGTGGATTGGATCATATCAATGATGTCCTACCTTATCTTATCTGGTGCTCACTAATTAAAGTTGACAGAAAGTCATGAGGATAAACACTTCTGAAATGAACATAAGAGCACAGATAATCCTCCCCCCACCCTCAAAGTGGCGTTGACCTCTACAGAATTGGTGATGCTCTTTGCACCAATTCAATTGTTTGCATCATCTCATCAACAGGTAAAACCTCAGCCAAGGCCACAGGAACAAGGAAAAGCAGTCTGCAATCTCAAAGGCTCCAGTGCCAGGAGCACATCTACTGTACTTACCATACAGACAAGGCGAAAAGGCTATTTCTACTTTTCTACACACAACAATGAAACATCGTGGAGAGAAAGAAGCAAAAGGGGAAGCCCATTTTTATTTCCTTTCCTGACATGCATAACAGAAATACCTTCTGTATGAAGAAAATACTAAATAAATAAGATATTCTTTTTTCCTACGTTGTCAGGTCAATGCACTGAGACTACAGACCTTGAATCTCTTTTATTAAGAAATAAAAAAGACGATTTGTCGTATTACTGTCCTGTCCAACTGCAAACAGCAACAATAGCAAGCATGTATTCTGTCCAGCCTTGTCAACTTTTAAATGTCTTAGCATTGTAAGACAGGTCACATAAATTACTTCTGCCTCTTGTTCTGTGCTTGCTGAGTTTAAAGGCTGTGTGCCTTCAGTTGTTCAGCCACATGACAATTACAGCTGTGTATTTAAAGTCAAGCAAAAAGCACTGCGATCAGTAATAACCACTGTCGGCTTCAATAAATTATTCATTCATCAAACACATTTATAGTAACCAAGGACAAGAACAACTGATGAAGGCTAAACATTAGAATGAATACCATGTTTATGCACATCTCTAATATAATAGCAGTATGTCATTACTATGCATATAAAACATATTTGTTAATTAATATTTAGCAGATCCATAATGGCATAGAAATGGAAAGCAAGTCTTACATCCTTGAGGTTGTTGGCTCAGGACTGGGAAATTTTATTCACTATCAGAAGACAGGAGCCACAGTAGCACAGTGCAAATGGCTAAAAACTGATGCAGCTGTGAATTTGTACAAAGATCATCATCATACCGTGAATTAGCAACACCTGTGACTGTCTGGCTTTGTTGCAACACAAGCAACAATATCTGTGTGGACTGACTGCATCCTGGCACTAATGCTACTGTTTGCTCTCCGGGATTCAAGCACAAGACAAAAGAAATATACAGTGGTTGTTTTGCAGTGCGTGTCATAGAAAACATGTTTGTTCACTGCAGCTTTGGTCCCAGTTCACAATTCAGCCTCATTGCTGCAAGCAGAAGTCCGGTGAAATAACAGGGGCTGTTATGCGTTCTGCGCTGCAAGACAGTGGGAAATCATAACTAGAATAAGATAAGGTCCCTAGAAAATGTGCCTTTGCTTATTTAAAATATTAAAAACTGTATCAATATACAAGATCAAATTTGCAAGACACCATTGTTAGCATTTAGATACATCCTGTTCTGGGTTCATTCATTTATTTTAGCAGGCAGGTTAATTGGGAACACATTATCATTTGTAGCAAAGACCCAGATAAGCAACAACGCATCTGGTGGAACGTTGTGAGAAAAGGACCTTGCTAACAGGAGCAACAGCTGTTCAAGCCCAACCAGAGCTTGATCCCAAACTCTCTGGGCTGGATCCTAGTGCTTTAACTTCTATTCTGTTCTGAAACCTTTAATGTTGGCCTTCAAGAGTTATTATTAATTTGTAGGATCTTATCACCAATAATTGTGCTCTTCACATCTGGTATAACGTTCAAAACCAGGCCATTTTTGACTGATAGACTTTTCCTCTTTGAGGCCAGATATTGCTTTGTTTTGATGCAGCTCAGTTCAGCTTTTTTTTCGTGAAATCGTCCTTCAAATCCCAACTAGTGAAGGATGAGGCAGTCTGAGTAATACATTCTAGAACCTAGTGCACCACGTCCCTGCCTTCTTTGTCATCAATGAAATAAGGAGCTGCCAGCTACTGCTTTTTTGACAGACTTTCTTAAAAATGAATTGGAAAATATAATTAAATAATAACAAAGGCGATCATTCATGATGGAACATGAATGAGTTTCTTGTCATACTTAAAGAGGGATTCAGGTGTTCTTCTGGCAGAGTAAGACAAAAAATAGAACCAAATTCCTAAGTACTGGGAAATTAAATAATAATAAAGACTATTAAAAAAACAAACTACTTTGCACAGAACAGTCGAGACAAAATCTCACCCAGCATCACCTGTGGTTTAGACAGGCCGTTATGGTTTATCAGGCACCGCAGGTTAAATTATGACATTCAAATTTTGTGCGAGCCTCTGCAGTTTTTCTTTTTGATAATCAAAACCAGACTTGAATTATATACAATGTTACCGTGTTAATCCCATGAAGACACTGGAAAAGAAAACAATCAATTGGCGAAACTGGGACTTATTTATTTTTTTACTTACCAAGCCAGTAGTGCAGATCATAAAAATAACTTTCCTTGTGTTTTATGGTATGGAGGACAAGATAAGCATCTCCCACGTAGAAGTTGCCATGAAGACTTACTGGTACTGGTACCAGTTCCATATTTTCAATTCTCCAGATCTGAAGGCCAGCAGTCTTTCCTGCCTGCTCAAACTCCTTGTGATACAGAACCATCTTCACCTGACTTGCTAGCTCAACTGTATTACTAGTGCTCAATGTCTGAGTAGCAGAGTGCCCTTCTCTGTGCCTGGAAAGAACTGAGTGAATCGAGCTCTGTGCAGGCTCTGAAGTGTGTGCTG